GAATTATTGAAAGTGAAAGCGAAGATTCGTTACAAGACTTGGACGAATGCCGCGATGTTACGGAAGAATTACATATTCCAGATAGAATACCTTTTAGCGTATTGCCACAGGTCATTGGACCACAAGTTCCTACAAACATTGAACAGCCGATACAATATTTTAAATTATTTTTCACGGACGAATTGGTAAATGAAATTATAAAGAAAACCAACAATTACGCGGAAAATGTTCTAAACTTGAAAGAAATATCTAGTAACTCTATTTGGCAAAGCGAATACTATGACACTTGTCCGAGTAAACCCAGAATGCACATGGGAGATTGTTACCAAAGATATCGCACCATGGTGAATTACAAAATTGAAAATTTATCTTTTATTTACAATAGGAAAATGTATATTTATAAAATAAATAAAATCAAATGCATTCGCAAGGACGTGTAATCTTTTTCGCTCAAATTAAGACTTCCTTCATCTCAGGCGCCCCGCTCCAAAAATGTGCCGGAGTTGCTGGTAGGCAGTACTCGAGAAACGCGCGGAGCTCTAAGGGTTAATAAAACTCCGTCACATGAATATAAACGATATTTTACTGTCGTTACTTGTTTCGTTGCATGCATTAGCATGCGAATGCTAATGATTTGAACTTGAACATTTCAAGTCCAAACAAATCGTTAAATGAACAATAATCTCGCTACGTTTGTTACAACAAAGTTCGCATAAATCTCGCATGAATGTTTTAGCGGATAGAAGATATCGGAAGATTACCGTCCAAAGCAGAGATTAGACGGAAAAGCAGCTGGCCGTGGTTGGGGTTAAGGAAAAAGCGGTTTTAAGCCGAAACGACGACAGAGGCCGATTAGGAGCGGCGATCGATAGAAGAAAACAGGCGGGCCGAGTATTTCGCTGGCATTAAACATGCATCTTCCGGTATCGCGCACGTGGGCTTCGCATTCATCCCGTTGTGCCCGCGGCTCGCCGTACAAGCCGAACAGGCTCCCTTAATTCAGCCCCGTAATTAATTATGCATTGTTGTTTGCCGCGATAACCGACGCAGACGGGGGGAACGCGTCGGGGAATTTGTCCCGGTGCACCTCGCGGGATATATCCAGCTCGGGTACCCGGCATACGCTACGGGATAATCGCGTGACTAACGGTTAACTAAATCGCGAAGAACGCCCCCGCGGAATTATCAGACAGGAACGCGTCGCGTCGCCCCGACGACAGACGGGACGCCGTTTATTAATGGCGATCGCGGGCTATTGATAATTCGCGCGTGCGCTGGCTTCGTTAACGAAACAGTCGCTCTGCTGGTTGCTAGACCGGCCAGATGCCATCCCAACATTTTCTAGATGAATTGAGCCGTTGGAAGCCGATATGGTGTAAGTCGAAGAAATTAATTTGTGGCTTATGTTAGGATGAATTGAGACTTCGGTAAAATACAATGACGTAAAAAATTGTTAAAAGTCTTTACATCAGTTTTGTTTTGACTTTAGGACGGTGGACCATTTTCACAACTATTTGCTTACGCATCGATAATAGCTACAACAATTCTGAGATTTGTTCAGCGATTTTCCAAAACATATTTTTGAAGATACTTCTTGCAATTGTTAACAATTGAGTAATTAAGTGAACAATTTAAATACTCTCGATCAAAATGACCCGACAACCGTTAAACGGTTCAATTATAACAGACTTAAATGATTAAATTTCTTCTTTCATCATGTCCAGTGCCACGCCATGCAAGTACCATTTATTTCGCAATGTACGAATAGGAATGGCAAGATTTATTATAGTAATTACTTTCGTGATCTCCGGCTCAATTTATTTAAGTACTGAGGTACATTTACTTAATAGATCTTAGTAAAAATTGTTGTCAGAATTGTACACAAAGTTTATAGTCTACTGAACTCCGCCATTTTTGTTTAAAACGTGGTGAGTGACTTTTGGCGCGGCTGTATGGCTTTTGGGACTACTAAGAATATTTATGAGACGTTTTGGTAAAAGTTAAACTCAAAATTTATATTTTGAATAAGTTGTGTTTATTATATTAGTTTAATCTTAAGATTGAGAACGTGTATGGCTATTTTGCGGACTCACAAAATGACCGATCTACAGTATCCGTTTTACAATATTTTCCTGTAAAAAGACAAACTCCCGCAGTAATTTCGACGAATACGAATTTCTGATGAATTATACTCCCGAAATAATTTGATATCGGGTCGGACAGTGCCGAAAATTCGGAATTTGCCTAGTAAATTTCCCACGGACGGATCAACGATACAGACGGGTAACTTTTACCTCGGAAATGTGAAATTGTAATAATTAGTAATACTAATCGACGCGATTCCGCGTTGCAACGAGACTCGGCTTCATCCAGATAATATTCATTATCACCTCTCTCTCTCTCTCTCTCTCTCTCTCTCTCTCTCTCTCTCTCTGCGATCCTTTCGTTATATTCCCCTTTTTTACGTTATTTGCAGCGTAACGAGAGCTTCGGCGATCCCATTGTAAAAATAATTATTTCCAGCAGGAGGATTCTTTTTTCATTCGATTCACTGTGCAGTTCACGCATGAAGCGGTCACTCATTAGTAGATTGCGGACGTTTATGCATTTAAAGAGCGTGTGAATGGAGCAACCGCGATGAGGCCGCGGTACTTCGGTACCTGTTCGTATAATTCTCCTTTTATCCTTAACCTTTCGCGACGGGATTAAATCGCTCTTTTGTAGAAATTACTCTGCGCGAACGTGGCCACGTCAGCAATTTACTGCCTCGACTTCCATGCTGTTATTCCGTCAAACAATGCGTACAGTATTATTTCCCGATTCTTCAGAAACACGAATTGCGAAAGATTGTCTGAAATTTTATTCATACCGAGTTAATGTCGCAGTCCCACCCAATTACAATTTCAATCGATGTAATATACTGCGGACTGACTGTTGTAACGTATTCGGCATTGAAGCACGTAGTTTATTGAATATTCTAGCATCAGGATTAGACGATATCGCGCGATTAAATACGAAGCGGATTATAATTCCCGATTATCGTTACATCGACCGTCCGTACAAAAACATTATCACGATTTTGAATATATTTTTACGGAAGTTACGAAATCGCGCGGAACACGTTGCCATTAATTCATCAGAAATGATCGCGATGTACTTGTGAAATTTTCATTTTACACGCGAAGCATCGAACGTTACGAATTGGTATTTTACATATTCATAAATCGATCTTCTAAAATTTATACGCTCTCGGGATCATTTTTCCGCGAAACTTTAAGTGAGAGCCGCGCGAGCCAGTGTTTTATTAATTCATAAATAATATAATTTCCACTGTTACTCTCTTCTGTTTCATAAACGATGTTGAAATTTTATTCGAAGGTGCGCGCCGGTATTTTATTAATTCATAAATCGGGCTTCCAATATTTATTTATCAACAAAAACGATCGCGTTCATATTTGCTACATTTTTGCTGAACGTATTTGCAACGTTTTACGCGACGTCGAAACTTCATTGTCGATCACGGACTTATTTTCGTTCGAGTGAAATTCGAATGCGACTCACCCGTGTGCGTCCTCTGATGAGCCTTCAGGTGCGAGCTCTTGGTGTAGACCTTCTTGCATCCGGGAAATTGGCATTTGTGTATCCTGCGCTTCGTGTCAGGCGGACTGTGCTCGTGGCTCCTCGCATGGTGCCTGTTGGCAACGGTGCTTGCAGCTGCAGCAGCTCCTGCGTGTGCGTGCTGCGTGCCCGCAACTGCGGGGTACCCATTCGCTGTGACGGAGATCAGTCTGCAAAAAATACAGAGCCACACATCATTGCTGTTCTTTCGTCTCGATGTCTCGTAATTAACAGCTCGGCCGGACCGTGGCAGCCCGTCTAATCTGTTCGCAATTCTACCGTGAAACACCGTGCTATCCAAAACGGGTATCGAATTCATTTAACCCTAGAAAGATAACCATATGACAACGTACGTAAAAGATAACCATACGCTTCAGAGGCGCATGCTTTTCTAAGGCGTCAATTTTATACTAACAATGGATATTTATTTAAGTTAATCTAGTCATTTTAAAGGTTTGGCATTATTGTAAAAATAAAATGCATTTATATTATATTTTTTTATATTTTAAGTAATTTTAAACTTAAATCACTAGACCTCTATGAAAAATTAACAAAAATCAACAGTCTTCGGTTTATGGGAAGAAATCCCGTAAAATATCACAAAAAATAGTGTTTTATCCTTACAAACTAGTAGACTATAATATAATCAGTGTAAAAAAAACTATAATATTATAAAAAATTTCTTTAGAGACAGTCATGACAAACGTCTTTCTTGTGTTCACCACAAACTGTCTTTTTGCATTTGGCACAGGTCATCTTTGACATTCTTTTCTTTTTAGACGTGCAAAGACTGCAATAACGCCTTTTTTTGGCTGAGGGTTCTTCTTCATCATCTGTGGAAGCCTGTACAGCAGATTTTGGAAGAATATTTTCAATGTTGCTTCGCACATGCCTTGGCAAAGTGGGTGCTTCCAGTCTTTGCGTCATCCACGGTGCAGTCAGTTGTTTATTTCGCAGGCGCCTCTGCGACGTAGGTTATCTTTCTTGGGTTAAAAAAGTCTCTATTGTAGAATTAATTCGTTGTATCGGTTTGTGATAACTTTCGAGATCAATCGCGACAATTAGTATTATTAATATAGATTATTATCCTTTTCTAACTACAAAAACCTTCGTACAGTCCGTACGTGTCATAAGTACATAAACGATTGCCGTTTAGTTATAACAAAAATGACGAAAGGTCTAAAAAAGAAATACAGTCATTATAACGCAACACACGTTAGTTGCATTTATGACTCTGTAGAATTAGTGTGAAATCTTGAAATCTCGAAAACGATGAAGCCACCATAATCCTCTAAACTGAACAATCTATATTCTCGCAATAATGTGATTTTTATCTAGAAACTATAGACACGTTCACCGAAAAGTTAAAAAGTGAACCACATCGAGCCGACTAAGAAATAGTTCACTGCGCTGATCTGGTAGCATCGATTATACGAATTGCAACGTGAACAAGAAAAAAGGTCAACTCCAGAAGCGTATCTAGAGGATAACTTGAACTCGGAACTAGAGGAAATAGAACAAGGAATAGAGGAACTGAACAACCCGTATCCTCGCATTAATGTGATTTTCATTTAGAAACTGTAGACACGTTCACCGAAAAGTCCAAAATTGAACAACGTCGAGCCGACTAAGAAATAGTTCATGCACCGATCTGGTAACATCGATTATACGAATTGCAACGCGAACAAGAAAAAAGTTCAACTCCAGAAGTGTATCTAGAGGATAACTTGAACTCGGAAGCAAGCGAACAGATTCTCCGAAACGAACGATCTCCCTCCAGCACGTTGATCCTTATCTAGAAACCGCGTTCAACGACGGGACAAGGAGGAAAGTACGGGGACCAGGAAAAAGAAAGAGTACTGACCTTGTGACACACTGCTGGGTATTGCTGGTGGTGACCCTGACGATGGCGCTCCTGCCGCCGGTCCCGTGAAGGTTGAGGTTGTGCACATCGAGCATCGAACTCCCGCTCGACGAGTGACTGGAGTTGGAATGACCTTGACCTGAGCCGGGGCTCGACGGTGGCGTCAGGATCTGACCTTCGCTTTCGCATCCGCTGTCCTCCTCCTCCTCGATTTCCTGCGGCCGCAAACGTAATTCATTACGCAACGGGATTACGATAACGGGCCTCTGATTAAAGTGCAAGCAACTGGTTAAAACGGGTATCGGACATCGATATACGCAACGCAATGCAACGGAACGCGGCGACCGTAAGCGAAGAGAGAAAGAGAGAGAGAGATAAAGGCAGATAGATAGATAGATAGAAAGAGAGAGAGAGAGAGAGAGAGAGAGAGAGAGAGAGAGAGATAAAGGCAGATAGATAGATAGATAGATAGAAAGAGAGAGAGAGAGAGACAGAGAGAGAGAGCGACAGAGAGAAAGAGACAGATAAAGGTAGATAGATAGAAAGAGAGAGAGAGAGAGAGAGAGAGAGAGAGAGACAGAGAGAGAGCGACAGAGAGAAAGAGACAGATATAAAGGCAGATAGATATATAGAGATAGAGATAGAGAGAGCGAGAGAGAGAGCCGGGCTAACAGCAGCAGAAGCAGCAGCAGCGCCGGTGCGAATCGATCAATGGCAAATGACCTCGTAAACGGATTACACGGGGCCCTGCAACGTGCGTGTGCAGGCGCGCGTTAAATTACATCGCGAGCCGCACACGTAACCCGACGAAAATTGGGAAGAATCGTTATTTGTATAACCGGCCGTTCGTCCGGTAATTGAAATTTGACGGGCATTGTGCCCAACGGGATGCGATTCGCAACGGAACCGGAGGACCGGAAGCGGCGTTACGACTCCTGCGTAAATAGAGCCATTCTTTTCAGGACGCTCGTTACTGGCTGCACTGTTCTGCTCTACTCTCCGATGGTCATTAGCTACTTGAATGAGTTCGATCTCATATTGACAAATGAAGTCGCGCATCCTGCCGGTGCGCAGTCTCGCGACCGCGTTCGCCGAGCTTCAAGATTCAAAATGTTTGGATGTTCTTTCGAGGAACCGATAATTCGATATGTCTCTAGCAAAGTATTTTATAAAACGTTTAGCATAGATTAACGAACGATGACAGTTGAATGTTCCGACGGTTTGGTAGGACAGTTGTATTAAAATGTTTCATCGAGAGACATGTGTTTCAGACTTTGTTGAGCGTGGCGTACAAAGATGTCGAAAAATGAACGTAAAGAAAACAAGTGATCGTCTGACTTCGAATAATACTTTTCGGGAAATTTCGTAGAAATCTCAATTTAAATTTCACGTTCCCTACGATACGTCTAATCTGTACAATATATGTTTAACCGTTCGAGTCCCAGGGGTTGTTCAGAAAACACGGTCTAAAAATACCGAACAGCGTGATAGCGCTTTTCTTAATTGATTGCGAAAAGAACCAAGCGGCGCGATAGCGCTCGTCGAGATTGACAAACACAACAAAAAGGAAAAAAATGAGAAAAAGCAGCTATGCGATGTACGTGCGTCACTAAAGTTTGATCGCGACACAAGAGCTGAACAGCGCGATCGCGCTGCTTGGGACTCAAACGGTTAAATACGCACGAACAGCAGCGTAGACACGCACGACGAAAAGCAGGTAATCGCAGTTTTCCACGAAATTAGCGGAGACTCGAGTTTCCGCAACCGATATCCGGGCCCGTAACCCGCATCAAGAAAACATAAACCTTCATTTTGCCGAGTTATTCGCCTTGGCACCGAGCGGCTCGAAACCCAAAACAAGAAAGGAACTCATTCCGCCGATACGATAGTCGTTGCCGAGCAGGTCGGTCGGTTCGCGCGTCCCGCCATTTACATAATCGCAAGTTAAGCATTCGCATGCAGAACAATCCGAGGCGTCCGGAATATTGAAAAGAAACGAAGGAGCGTTTGGCCGGGACCGGTCGACGGGATGAAAATAAAATGGGAGAAGGCAAGAAGAAGAAGAAGAAGAAGAAGAAGAAGCAGAAGAAGTAGAAGAAGAAGAAGAAGCAGAAGAAGAAGAAGAAGAGGAGGAGGAGGACGATGAGGACAAACAAAGAGAAGAAACGAAAGGAATACGGTCGCTGTCACCGAAGGGGAAACGGTATCCTCGGGTAGAAAGTTTGGACGATAAGTGTCAGATGTAAATCCGGCTTTGAACGCACCTCGTGCTCCTCATCCTCTTCGAGATCCTCGCTGGGCTCTTTCTTGAGAATGAGTGCTGTGCACGAGAGGGAGGGCGAGCTGTCCCAGGACAACGCCGAACACGCCGAACTCGCCGACGACATCGACAAGGAATCGAGGTGTCGGTCCAGGAGATCCCTATCGCGGCCGTTGTGGTTGTGATCGCCGGGACTGAATTTTATGTCGTCGAGACAGAGCGTTTCCCTGTCCTCCGACGACGTCGTCACCTACGTCGCATCACGGACGAAAAAGAGAAAGAAGACCGCTTTTGACACTCCTGCTCGTGAACCACGTTCTTCCAGAGTGCGGTGGGGGGACGAGGGGGAGCTGGGTGGGTTGGGAAGAGCGGGGCTTCGGTAGGGGTTCGTTGAAGTGTCCCCATGGGAGCACCGGAGCGAGCACACCTAGCATCGTTACTCACCTCCATTTTGATTGGCGATTCGAATTGTGCGTTGGCGGTGCCCGTGGACGCTGTCCACGAGATTGGCGGCGCCCTGAAGAGGTTCCACGGTGCCGTGTCCAATTCTGTGGGCAACTTTTTGTACGACTGCAGCTTCGGCTCGTCCTTCAGGTACCTCTCCATTTCGTAGCATGTCTGGAACAACCGAGACCTTTGTTAGCGAATTCTCGAGCACGCTTCAAATGTCTACAACTCTCCGCGACTACCTAATCGCGAAGTCCGCGCGTACCATTGCTTTGTAGCTACGAGATTCGATTTATTAATTGTTTTACGTGTTTCATCCTCGAGAACGACGGACCATTTCAACAACTATAAAATTCACGATCGTTCGAATAATTCTCAGCTTTATCCGTTAATTTTGCAAAACGTATTTTTGAAGATTCTTCTTGTAGATATATTGTTCTTTCTATTGTTTCTAGTTAAATAGGAACTAAATATATTTAGGAAATAAATTTTTAGGAAATAAATAAATTTATTTTATTTCATTTTTGTAAATTCAGTAATTAGGTGGCGATTAACAGTTCACTGGATCAAAATCACCTGGTGACAGCACTCGTACGGTTCACCTGTAGAAGGCCGGCAAATTTCCTTGTATAAGTCAGTTTTATTCTAGTTTTATTCTAAAATTATGTTTAATGTATTTATTTCACAAACTTACTGTTATGCCTCGACCTAATATATTGGCTTTCTGGCTCTTTAAAGATTAACTACTTTGCGCTTTTTTCGTATCTACATTGCCTATACTTCATTGTCTTAGTCAGTATTTATTTTGTTGTAAACTACTCTTATTCCTGGATTATGGTAACAGAAGAACCAAATTTTGTTTCGATTTCAAAGAACAAGGTTGAACAAAGAAGTTTGAAACAAGTGATTTTGATCCGCAAAATGAGTAATTCGGTAACACTTCACTAGACTGCAGATTTTATGCATTTATAACAAAATAGAATTTTGTTGTACGGAATGCAAAGCAACGAAACCTTCGAAAGAGTTCAAAGTTATGTTGTTACCCATTTGAACTTTGAAAAGTTAATACAAGATTAAGTCAGTTTTTAATCGATTCACGTTTTCTACAGTTGTGTGTGTGTGTGTGCTTCGGAAATTATTACCAAATAACGTACAAAATTCCTTAAAATTGTCACCATTCCTCGATAACGGTTCCATCGATTTTCTACATTGATGAAATAATTATTATTCCCTTGAAGAGTAGCATAACGTATCGCTGAATTCCGGTTCCCACCCCAAGAAGTACGAAACCAAAGCGAAGAGCTTGGTGTCCGATTGGGATTGCAACAGCGATCAGAAGTTTCTGGCTGGTTTAATTGTTTGAAAACTATAGAGACACCGAGTAAAGGCGGACGATATCGGGGCCCTTCAACAGCTTTTCCATTTAAACAAGCCTGGCCGTTACAAGATCATTACCGCTACAAAAGGCCCCATCTTGTCGAAGTAAATCGCGCGAAAGGCGCAGAGATCTTTGAGCCGATGCAACGGAGGAATAAAATACTCCCGCGCGCGTCTTTGTTACCGCTATCGGGCAGCCTTAAAGTGGCCTTATAGAAAAGAGAAATTATTGCAGTGCGGCGACGGTGGCGGAGATAAGTGGTTTCATCCGTGAAACCGCCGGACAAAACCGTCGCCGGCTTTGGTAACCGTTAGCGGCGATAATAAATTGGCAGAGAATGCCCGAAGGAAGACGGCAAAGTACACGGGGAACGGTCCCAGGCTATCTTCGTGGCCGATGCGACTCGGACGAGAATAAAACGCGGCTTCGAACACGGTTTGGAACTCGGATCTGCTGTCACGGCTGTGTAATCATGATCGCTGGTTAACTGATTATATTAGGAACTGCTGCTCGGATCGCAGCACAGAAAGATACTAATGGCTCAACGAGCTCGTTAGAGCAGTTAGTGTCACCAACAAAGTTACAAAGCTGTTCTTCCTAGATAAACGTGATGATTCAATAGAATCTTATTTCGGCGACTGTTCCTTATCTTTGAAAAGGTAAATTAATTATAGAAGTTATGTAAATAATATATAACTAGTAGAAGTTAATAATAAACTATAACCGTAGTAGAAGTTGGCTGTTGGTTTCTTTTTAAAATTGCTATGAGAAGAAAACGTTTAATGTTCATCATTCAGAAAAATTGAAAAGAGTGAAGATTCAATTACAGAAAATGTGTTTGCAAATTAAAATTTTATCTACCGGCGAATGTTTAATAGCCCTGTGTCAGTAAAGATGCCACTTTTTTAGAGTGTCTTAAGAAATTGATTATTTAAAAGAAAATCGTCGAGCTTCTCTTCGACACGATTCAGCCATTGAAAAGGCTATTAATAGGCTCTCGACGCATAAGAGATTTGTCTCGGAAAGACCGAAACGAAAGTATAAACATCTGAAAATCTAGATGAAGAAGAATTCGCAAGGAGCCGAGAAGAAGATCGCAGGATCGTTCAAAGGACTAATTAAAAGCGATCGCGCACAGGGGACTAATATATTACACATAATTCCTGAATCCGTGCAGGCCGGCCGTGGCTATCCTACCGTGAATTATCCCCGGCGAAAAGAATAACGAAGACGACAGAAGCGTAATGAGAAATCGTCTTTCGGAGAGATCGTGCAAGGGACGCGAGAGAGCCGCGGGCGAGCACCGCACCGGCGAAACTTTTATTAAAGCCACCGTGCTTTAATATACAAAGCGCATTTATCTTGAACGCCGTCGCAGGGGCTCTCTTATTCTCTTGATCGCCCGGTTCCCGCGTATTATACCGTTCAAGATGAACGACACCGTTTCTATTTAAATTTCCCGCGGCCGGGCCGTCGCATAAATTTCCTATCGCGCGTCCGACCGAGCGGCAAAATATTAAAAGGTCCTGCTCTCCATTAAATGTTTCGCTGCCGCGGGCTGGTTTCGTGAAAATTCGCTTCCAAAAACACCGTTCACCATCGAATAACTGCGATCGGCCGGCGCGATTCGATACACTCCATCTTTTCTGCATTTTTTCGAGCTTCACGTCTACATCTTCCATCATTTGTTTGCTTTTTACTAGAACTTTCCCCGCTATTTTTAGGTTGAACCGTTTCCGACGCTTTCTCTTTACTGTTTCGGGAAATACTTGAAATCATCAGTTGCGAATTTGATTAACCCTCAGACGACGGACCATTTTAACAAATATATGATTGACAATGATTCAGCTTTATTCACTAATTTTTCAAAACATATTTTTGTAGATTCTTCTTGTAGTTCTATTATCATTTCGATTGGTTCTAGTGTAAACAGCAATTTGTTTTGTCCAATTTCCGTAGATTGGATAATTAGGTGACGATTAAAAGCACACTTGGTCAAATTGATCTGGTTACCACAGACCGAGAGTTAAGAGGGATATAGTTACTATATGCAAGTGGCAAAAAAGTTAGTTAGTTAGTTCTTCACTTAGTTTCGTTCATACCGTGTTACATAAGGTTGTAGTGAGACTCTTGGTTGAGTCGAACAATATGATACAATATTTACTAAAATACTTGAAATATACAGACCAGAAACTTAAAATTCTGTCATTAAATTAAAATTTCCAGTAAAGTTCCAGAAGTTCCAGAAAAGTTCCAGAAGTTCCAGAAGTTCCAGAAAAAATCCAGAAAAATTCCAGAAGTTCCAGAAGTTCCAGAATGGTTCCAGAAAGGTTTCAGAATGGTTACAGAAAAGTTCCAGAAAAGTTCCAGAAAAGTTCCAAAAAGGTTCCAGTATGGTTCCACAAAAGTTCCAGAAAAGTACCAGAAAGGTTCCAGGAAGATTCCAGAAAGGTTCCAAAAAAGTTCTAGAAAATTTCCAGAATGGTTTCAGAATGGTTCCAGAAAGGTTGCAGAAAGGTTCCAGAAAGATTCCAGAACACTGTACTGGTCACTCGGACATCAATGTGGCAAAGTACAGCTTATGCTAGTTTATCAGTCTTACGAAACCAGTGAAGAACTGTCTGTGGTTCTAATATAAGAAAAGTGCTCTTCATTGTTATTAATACACATGTTTCCTATCATTTTAAAAATTCACAATGCCGTAAATGAACGAACATCCGCAATATACTCATTACACTTTTTGATTCTATTGTAACAGAGTGCGCATAAACGAAAAAAGAAATGAGCATAAACAATCTCAGCTTCTAGGAGCAACTTCCATCGATGCATTTATCATCCTCACACCTAATAAATGTCGGCAAGTCGTTGCAGAAGCAGAGCAATCAAATAATTGACGCCTATATCATCGACACAAGGAACCCTAGAAATTTACTTGAAAACGCATGTGCTCCAAGTATCGGCAAAGATGCGACCGTTTTTTAACGATTAAACAGCAGGATCGCAACGCGTGGTACCAGACCGGTTGGGATCAGGATCCCGCGTCCTGTGGGACGGTCCGAGGACGATGTCCCGAGGAAGGACTCGCGAAGGATGCCACCAAGCAGCGAGGTAATCTGATTTTGCGGCATGGTTGCCGCACAATTTCTCGCGCGCGCACGCCAGCCAGCATAACTTTGCACTCCGTCTCGGAGGAACTGTACCGAACTGGCACGGCCTACGGGAAGTTTCGGCAAACTCGCGCGAGTGCCTGTGTCGGCGTGGAACGGCGTCGATGTGTTTCTCGCGTGTGCGCGCGGATGCTGCAGATAATTTCGCCGCTCTGCTGTCTCGGGAAGTTCCCGTCGCCGCCGGTGTCTGTCGCCATTCTGGATCGAAACCTTCCGCCAGACTTTCCGATATACTGAAAGACACGCTTCTGCTCCTTCTCGACCCCGCTCCTGCCGCCATAACGCCGTCATTATTGCCGATTCCGGTTCATTGCCGAGCCGTCTCAATCCTCGATTAGCACAGCCATACCACAGTTTCTAATAAGATTTTTATCTTTGACTGGGACCCAAGTTATCCGTCAAATCTTTTAAAACAGCTAATTGGTTAAAAAGGATGCATACTTTGATGTTCTTTATTAAATTATGTATTTTATAGATGTCTCGTATTTAGAGAAAGTAAGGAGGAAATCAAAAAGTCCCATAATTAATAATAATACTTTGAAATAATAATTAATAATAATATTTTGAAATAACTTTATCCTTAGCGAAAATGCAGTCTGCGGCTTTGTTTATGAGTTATTAACGAA